TCTAGAGGCATTCTCTCCTGACATTTCGCCTGCATCTATGGCAAGCATCCTCAGAGGTAGTGAGGTCTGACACAGAAGCATAACAAAACCAGAACATAAAATACATAAAATACAAAACCAATATAATAAACGACATAGCAGTATAAAATCAGACATTAAAACACAAAAGATTACATTGGGCAGGGCCAAATTCAAAGATAAAATTTTAAAGCACTGGAAAATAGGACAATATAAATTGTCAGGGAGGGGGATCCGGGGATGAGGAAGGATTTAATTGCACGAACCATAAAAAAAAGTGCTTCTGAGGTCATTTTATACAAAGTTTGGTCAGAGAGAGTTTTACATTCAATCACTGAAGGCACATTGGAATAACCAGGTTTTCAAGTTCCTCCTGAAGATTGCCAGCATGGGGGCTTGCCTAATATCTCTGGGCAGTGAATTCCAAGGGGCGTTCATTAAAGATTTCCCTTGACCCACTTCCTGTGGAGTGAGAACAATGAAACTTGGTCCAGTTATGAGTCCTTCTCTCAATGGGTGCCACCTAGGGACACACTTCTCCCATCTTTTAAAGCAACTGTAAACATCTCGGTTGTAGAAGTCGACAGGTTGTTCCAAAAACCATGTTGTGACTTTAGAAATCAGAGTCTCCTTATCTGAAAAATGCTTGCCCTTCAAACATAACTTCCTTGTTGGAAAGAAGTAGAAGTCCGATGGTGCGAGGTCAGGTGGATGCGGGAGAATTCCAAAGCTACAGGAGCATGCTTCTTCCATTTGGGCAACAGGGAAGTCATGCTACCCCTCTATTCTGCCTTGGTTAGACCACACCTGGAATATTGTGTCAGATTCTGGGCACCACAATTGAAGAGAGATATTGACAAGCTGGAATGTGTCCAGAGGATGGTGACTAAAATGATCAGGGGTCTGGAGAACAAGCCCTATGAGGAGTGGCTTAAAGAACTAGGTATGTTTAGCCTTCAGAATAGAAGGCTGAGAGGAGAACTGATAACCGTGTATAAATATGTGAGAGGAAGTCATAGGGAGGAGGAAGCCCTGGAGACTAGGATGGGTAACAATGACTTCAAACTACAAGAAAGGAGATTAAATCTGAACATTAGGAAGAACTTCCTGACTGTGAGAGCTGTTCAGCAGTGGAACTCTCTGCCCCAGAGTGTGGTAGAGGCTCCTTCTTTGGAAGCTTTTAAACAGAGGCTGGATGGCCATCTGTCGGGGGTGCTTTGAATGCAATTTTCCTGTTTCTTGGCAGGGGGTTGGACTAGATGGCCCATGAGGTCTCTTCCAACTATGATTCTAGGTGAGTTGTGAACTGGTGCATTGCCTTTGGTGAGCATGCCACATTGTCTCTTGGTTTTGATGGCCTCCCGCAATTTCTGCAGCAGTGTAGCCTAGTATGTCCCAGTGATCATAGTACCCATTGCTTGGATATCCATCAATACTACTCTGTGCTGGGCCCATAATACTGTGAGCATGACCTTGCCTGCTGAAAGTTGGGCACGTGCGGTGAGTCATGACGCTTCCATTGCCATCGACTGGACTTGAGTCTCAGGATCATAGTGATGGACCCAGCTTTCATCCTGTGTGATCAGTCTGTTGGAAAAGTCCTCCTGGTTTCCATGACACATCGTCAGTAGAGCCTAAGAGCATTCGACAGCCCTCCCCTTGGCTGAGAGGCCAGCCAATCACAGCGGAGTAGAACCTTTGGTGGGAGGATTTGCTGTTTGTTTCCAAAAACGAAGCGAGCCTAGATGGCCATCTGTTGGAAGGGATTAGATTGTGTCTTCCTATATCTTGTGTTTCTCAACCTTCTGAATGCCATGATCCCTTAATACAGTTCTTCACACTGTGGTGACCCCCAACCATAAAATTATTTTCGTTACTACTTCATAACTGTAATTTTGCTACTGTTATGAATTGTAATGTAAATATCTGATATGCAGAATGTATTTTCATTCACTGAACCAAATTTGGCACAAACATCTGATACTCCCAAATTTGAATACTGGTGGAGTTGGGGGGGGGGGGGGGGGGGGGGGGAGGTGATTTTGTCATTTGAGAGTTGTAGTTGCTGGGATTTATAGTTCACCTACAATTCAGAGAGCATTCTGAACTCTACCAGTGATGGAATTCAACCAAACTTGCCACACAGAACTCTCACAACCAACAGAATATACTGGAAGGGTTTGGTGAGCATTGAACTTGAGTTTTGAATTTGTAGTTCACCTATCTCCAGAGAACACTGTGAACTCAAACAAGGATGGATCTGGACCAAACTTGGCACGAATATTCAATATGGCCAATTATGAACACTGGTGGAGTTTGGGGAAAATAGACCTTGACATTTGGGAGTTGTATTTGCTGGGATTTATAGTTCACTTTCAATCATAGAGAATTTTGAACCCCACCAACGATAGAATTGGACCAAACTTTCCACACAGAAGCCCATGACCAACAGAAAATACTGTTTTTTTATGGTCATTGGTGACCCTTGTGACCCCCCCCAGGGGTCCAGACCCCCATGTTGAGAAACACTGTTCTATATGAAAGAAGAGATCTTCAGCCTTATCTGCTAAAGGGGTTCCTAAGACCATCAGAAATATATGTTTTCTGGTGGTCTTCGGTGAAATTCTGAAATTCTGAAATTCTGAAATTCTCTCGCCACCCCCCAAGGGTCACGACCCTGATTGAGAAACACCGTCCTATATATACCTCTATCTATGTACAGTTGTCTGTCTTGTCAGTGTATAATGGCATTTGTCATATATGTGTTCTGTAACCCGCTCTGAATTCCCTTCAGGGTGAGAAGGGTGGAATATAAATACTGTAAATATATATATCACTGTATTAACATGGGCACAAAATACTTGAGCATTGTAATGGGGAAGCGAAGTCCTTTTAAATATATACCTGGCACGTGGCTTTCATATCAGGTCTCGGATAATCAGGAAACCAAATGATTATGTAATGTTATGAGTATATTGAGGAAAGGCTACTAGGGAGAAAAAGTCAATTGGGATAATCTGCAATAGGAAAGACACGTGCTAGAGCAAGAATAGTGAGGCTGAAAAGGTTTTTGTTTCGTAGCATATGCTGGTTCATGTTTCGGTGATAAAGGTACAACATCCCTTGCAAATGTGCAGAAGATGCTGGGGCAGAAGTCTTGAATTGCTTTCACACACAAAAACATCTTGGCTCTGCACTCTACATGGAGGAATCTAATCCAAAATTATGCAAAGCTTCCAAAGTAGGTGGCGAGTTGCTATCGTGAGATTACTCTACTTAAAACATACTATACTGAATGGAGGAACCGCATTGCTATTTATAACATGGGCATTGGAATAGGAATTAAATGGGGTCTGTGGCTGAGGTCTTGATGTTGCTTCCCGTAGAAGAGAATGTGCCTTCTTTGCAATTCCAGTGCATTATGGCTGCAGATTTCAAATCAAGGAACGTCTCCAGAGGCAGGCTGATGGTTGGACTGGAAGCATCTCCGTTGTGCGGCATTGCTCATGATGAATTGGTACCTGTTTCCATGGCGATGGCATCTCGCTCAGTAGATGTGCAACCCACCCATTTTTAAAAAACACGGCCCCAACAGGCAGCGAAGGAAAACCCAATCATTAAATATAAACCTAATCATTAAACCATCACCTCTCTGTATTAAATCCATTGCAACACATGAAAGGGAGAGGAAAAATATGTCTGTGTTTCCCCGCTTTATTTCCTGACCATTCCCAGCAGAAGCTACTCTAGTTTTGTGCTCCAAATCCCTGCTTATTGCTTACCTTGTCTTCACAAAATTCACAACCAGGTTGACCTGTGTTAAGTCAAATGTCATCACCAACCAATCAAGAAAGAGTGCATTTCATGGCACGACGTGGAATTGATCAACTACTAATTTTGTCCTGCTAATATCACTGTCCCGTAGAAAAATTCACTGCTACCTCAATAATCTTAGAAATCCATGCAGGCTTTTGCCACAGACACAAGAGCTTGCAGCCAGATGTGACTTGTCTAGGTTTATGCATCAAACCTAGTGCAAATTTCCTGCAGCCAGGTTACATGTGCAAGGAAATTGCTCGCATCAAGCACCTTTATATGAGAAATGCCGAAGGAAACATGAAGCCTAAAAAAGTGCTGTATCTGTTTGCAATGCTTCATTTATTTGAAACACCTCGATGTTGACTGCCTACTTAAATAGGGATACAAGACATCTGTTGCCCAGGTCCCTTGACAAAAAACAAAAAAGAATACTTACCACCACAGTCCCACAAACTGTTCTGTGCATTGTAATATGTATTTTATAGAAATACATTATATGTATTTTTATCGAAATACATTTTAATATGTAAATAAAATATTTTCATCTGCTTCCTTGCAGAGTCTACACTTGTAATCTGTAGTCGACTTTTATTATTAGAAATTTTCAACACAATGTTTGCACCCTCTAATGGGCCTCACAACACTATGTAACAAAATTTGGAAAATGTTCTATTCCTGGTTTGAAAGTGTTACTTCCTGCTGAATTGTGTGGTCCTCACTTTGAAAGTAATTGTTCTACTCCTGAAACTTTGTTTTTTTCTGGCACAAACTAGGTTGAATTGGTCGACACTCTTATGAGATATTTATTGAAAATCTAGAGCAAAATGTGCTGCAGGATGTCCCTCCGCAAAGACGAATGGTATTGCAGTTTAATAAACTATTTCCATGTTTTAACCAATTAGGAAATGACATATATAACATAGGAACAAAAATCAATGTGTCACGTAGTGCAATAAAACAACAAGGGGCCATTTTTCATAACGCCCTTCATCAGGCATGGGCAAACTTCGGCCCTCCAGGTATTTTGGACATTAACTCTCAGAATTCCTATCAGCCTACCGGACCTGGCATACCTAACACCTGGAGGGCCGAAGTTTGCCCATGCCTGTCCAACATCATTATTCACTCTACTAGTTGAAGTAGCACAGAGACGGACACTAACACCATATTAAGATTTTATTAGAACCTATTAAATGATGTATTTCAACAGCAGCATCTCAATGAAATCACACCTACCTTGGGGTACACACATACTTTGGTCAATTCCACAAAGTACAACACTGAAGACGGATGGCGATGGGAAGGAGAACTACTTTTAAAGAGCTGTGTGTGAATCCCAGGAAGGCTTATAACTTGTAGATGAAACCGTGAGAACATTCCCAGCTTGAGCAATTGCCCAGGCGCAAACCTTCCATTTCTGCAGCCAGAAATCAAGGCCTCCTTTTTCTGCTCTTCAGCAAACGCATCCCTCTTTTTTTTCAATGCACATGAGCCATTAAATTACGATAAAAAGATTGTGGATTTCTTCACAAGCGTTAACCTGAGTACAGAAATAGTGAAGTACAATCGACCCTGTCGTGTTGGAGCTATACATTTTATTCACAGTAGCCCTTTGTTGATTGCTAGAGCGAGGGTTGAATCGTGTGTCGCGGGTAGAGCGTCGATGCACACAACCATTTCTGTGGCACTGAAGAAAAGTGCTAAATGAAACCGAACCAGCCCTAAAGACATCTTACATTTTTGACACACACAAACACACACAAAATTAGGAAAAAACAGAGAACGTCCCCCATGTTCTGAATGATCCATCTGGCAGCAGCGAAAGTGAAATGAAACTGTCATCTGATACTCAAAACACATTAGGGTTCACGCAGGCATTAATTTAGAATTTGCCAAAATTCTACATTAGCTGTTTTCCACTAGATTCAGCTCTTACTGCATACAATCAGAACGGCTGTAAATTTCTTGGAAAATAAAATGTTTCTAACTCTTTGCTGGAAATACTGGTTATAGTGTTTACATTGTAATGCGAGACTAATTATCTCGACACATTTGACACTATCCGTAACTTTTTATCGCTCTTCTGGTGTCTCACTGTATTCATGTACAGTGTTGCACCGTCACATAGACTTTCCTCGTTTCTAAAGGAACATTCCTTTATAAAGCACTAAACATGTTTCTCAGCCAACTTTTCAAAATGAAATGTTCCCGGAAATGTAATATTTCCATCGCAGGAAATGGAAATGTTTTCAATCGCAGGAGAAAAATAATGTTCTTGCGTGGATGAAATACTTCACTGTATCAAAGGGTGTCCCATCTGTACAATTATTTCTTCAATGGCGTAGTTAAAAGTATGTTAGATACAAACTGTACAAGTTCTCCAGTTTTACAAAGTGGCTTCGTTTTGGAAATAGGTCGACGCAAGTTACACTGCAAGGTTACTTCTTAATTCAAGGGTTACAGGTAAGGAACAGTCTGGATGCCTGACCCAGGATAGTTAGTTGGGCTTTGCTCTACCACCATATTCAGGCTCATCATTGTTTTGTAGAAAAACCAACAGTCTTCTACACTACGTTTGCAAATGGTCAGAACCAACTATATACATGGACATTTTTTTTTACCTTCTCCTTCCACTTCTTAATGTTAAATAGCTGTATTTATGCTCATGGCTGTTTCTCGTTTCAGTCCTTTACAGTAAATACTGAAAGATTGCTTTGGGTGTTCGTTTCTTCTTCTTCTCCTCCTCTCCCAGGATTCCTCAGATAAAGTTAATTTAGGCTCTAAAGTACATCATTGAAGTGCGGCTTTCCATAGTCGCCAAGATCCATCTGAAGCTCTCGTTCTTCATCATCTGCAATCAAGGGAAACGGGCCAGAATTATATTTTCCTAAGGAAGTTGACCAGAAATCCACAACACAAACTCTCCCCCCATTGCCCCTCTGTATAAGCTAACTGTTAACATGAAAGAAATAACACTATGTGACAAAATCTGGAAAAAAACATGTTCCTGGTTGGAAAGTGTTATTTCCTGTTTAATTGTACAGAAAGAGCCCCCAGTGGCGCACTGGGTTAAAGTGCTGAGCTGCTGAACTTGCCGACAGAAAGGTTGCAAGTTTGCCGGCTTTTGCCAACCTAGCATTTTGGATACATGCAAATATGAGCAGATCAATAGGTACCACTCTGGTGGGAAGGTAAGGGCGCCTCATACAGCCATGCTGGCCACATGACTTTAGAGGTGTCTGCAGAAAATGCCAGCTCTATGGCTTAGAAATGGAGATGAGCACCAACCCCCATAGTCGGACACAACTGGACTTAATGTCAGGGGTCAAACTTGAGTTTTACCTACTTTGAAAGTCGTTATTCTACTCCAGAAACTTTGTTGTTTTTGTGGCTGTCACAAACTACATTGAATTGGTTGAGACTTGATGATGGGATATTGATTGAAAAACTAGAGCAAAATGTTCCTCCCGTTTTGCATGTTTTAATTATAGAACCAAATAGGAAATGATATTTATAATCCAGGAACAAAAATCAACAATGTTACATAGTGCAATGAGGAATGCTTCAACACAACACCTTGGCTTCCAAATGTGGAATTTCAATAAGCTTCCTATGTTTAATATTATGCAACAATTTTCTCCGTCCATGCTATACAAAACTAAATTGAATACATCAGGACTTCCCCATCCCTTTGCGGTTGTTATGTGAATGTTGTTGACTACCCTAAGATATGTGTCCAGAGAAAGGCAACTCAAATTATCAAGGGTCTGGAGAACAAGCCCTATGAGGACCAGCTTAAAGAGCTGGGCATCTTCAGCCTTCAAAAGAGAGAAGACATGATGGCCATGTATAAATTTGTGAGGGGAAGTCATAGGGAGGAGGGAGCAATTCTAACTTTTTTTAACATTCTTTTGGAGGGGGCACTGAAATGATTGGGAGCTGCACAGGGATACATCTCATTTCATGAAAGGGAATGGAGAAGGCATACATTAAATATGTCCCATTTCAATTCTTATGCTATTTAGAAGGGATCTCTCAAGAAGCTATTTTGTTGTCACTTTTCCCTGCAAAGAAGACACTTTTTGTTCCAGTTGTTGCAAGATACAGTTAACGCCTGGATGGAAATGATGCTGCACCTGCCATAGCAGACAGACAATGAAGGATGCCACACCAAAGTGCATGCAAAGTGGGAGATGGAGCAGGTGCACACACACAATGCAGATGTTGCGCAAAGGAGGCCCACTGTGTCCGTAATATTAGCAAAGCAGAGAAATGAAGGTGTTAGGAAGCGCCATGCACTCAGGATGTCCAGGCAAGCAAGAGAGCTGCAGTCCTATGATATGAATCAACCTGTGATGGTTATGAAATATGCTCAGCATTCGGTCTACCAGATCCACATGCGCTCCGCATCGAGACATAGCCCTTCCACTTCATACAACTACAAGACCTAAGACAGCCACCATGTTAGTGCTCACCAGCAGGAAAAGAGAAAGCGCTGCAACACTTTCCCTTGAGCCACACTGCCTTTCCATCACAGCCGGCGCCTTCATGCCGCATGCAAGAATTAATAACATCCCTCTTTTGAAAAAGAGAAGACCCCCAGAAAGCCAAAGGTATCTGTAGACTTCAAACTAAACTGCTACACAAAGACAACACACGCTGGAGCTCCTCTGCCCATTCGCAGAACAGCCAAAGGGTGAAACACCACAAATGCACACACATGTCATTCGATGTGGTGATGACATGGGAGAATTATGCGTATGGGATGGAGACCAGGCCCAAGCTCACCTTGGACGTCTTCTTCACCACCATCGCCATCCTCTTCCTCATTGTAGGCCAGCTCAGCCTGCTTGTCTGCCTCATACTCACCCACGTTCCCATCATCCCCATTATAATCCGCCAGTTTAGAGCCATGCTGCGGATCAACAGGGGACTCATTCTCATCAAAGAACCGGCCTGTGAAGTAGGCAGAGGACGTACAGTCAGAAGCAAGGAGGAAAGGGTAAGGCCATCGGGGAAAGAAGAGGAAGAGGATGGAAAGAGGATGGAGGAAAGGAAGGAAGGAAGGAAGGAAGGAAGAGCGTCTGCGGACAGAAATGCACTGAGCTCCACTTCAGCATCTGGGACTCCCCTTTGGCCCTCTCTGCTTGGGTCTCCCATCTGCTTTCAGAGGCAATGCTGGAATGATTGACTACTGAATAGTTGCCTATATGTAAAGCCACCTTGGGTCCCCTTCTGGGTAGAGAAAGGCGGAATATAAATAGGGTAAATACATAAATATTGTTTCTGCCCATGGCTACCACAATGAGGACAGAGAGGGCACAAGCGTTTAACCATAAACCAGTGTGGCTAGGTTAATTGTGACTGGAAGGTATATGTGAAGGTACAGGGAGATCCACACTCTTCAGGCGAAGGGAAACAGCCTCTCATTTCAAGGGGTCCGCTCAAGCAAAGCAAAGCAAATCGTACAGCAAAGTGCAGCTTTAATCTAACAGCCTGATATTCCCAATCTGCGCAAAGCTGTTAACAGCATGAGCAACAGGATAGGATCCTAGTGTATTTAACAAAAACTTTTTTTCCTCTAGAATATGATGAAATTGCCAAGAGGTTTGGAAAATAAGGATCCAGAAGCTTTTATGACAAAGGCCGATGAAGTTAGCCAGGCATCGGCAAACTTCAGCCCTCCAGGTGTTTTGAACTTCAACTCCCAGTGGGCTGTTAGGAATGATGGGAGTTAAAGTCCAAAACACTTGGAGGGCCGAAGTTTTTCCATACATGAGTTAGCCTGATCCAAGTTATCAGGTGGTGCCACTGTAAGAAGTGAAAAGGCTCTCCGAAAGGCATTTCCCCAGCATGTCTTACACTTAGGAGATGCTGGCAGAGCTGCTGCTGGGATGAAAAAAAAAAAAAACGAAGACACTCCAAAAGCTTGCACCAACCTCTACCAGCCTTAATACTTTGCACAGAAGCTTACTTTCAGAAACTAAAACAAAATCAAAAACCAGTAACTCTTTGAGAAAAAGCAAGGTCCTCTTTTGTGCTGATCCGCAAATATTCAAGGAATGAGTTCAAAGTGTCTATTAACTAAAAATGTGAATTGTACCAGTTAAAAGCAATTCCTCAGCCTTAGTCTCCTCAGCAACTGGCAGGAACTGAGACTTGCAGGAAAGAGAGTGCTGATGCCCACTCCCCTCTTTGAAATCTGCTGATATTCAAAGGTTGCATTTTGCAGTAAACCTCTTGAAATCTGTGTACCAATGTCTTGTAGGCAACAGTAAGTCAGTATTAACTCATTTTTCTTCATTCCAGAATAACTGGCTCTCAAGAAACCACACATATTCCTAACATACAGAACAGGTAATCACAATTGTGCCATACATGATGACAAAAGCCAACAAAGGACAATAAGTTAAAGTGGTGCAAACCTCCATGTGGACACTTCTAATGTTAACTTCACCCACATCCTGTAACCCATACTCTTCAACCTTCCTCAAATTAGAAAAAGAGATCTCCAGTACAATATTTTGAACTACCCTTCCATAACTTACATTTTCCATTAATTCATTCTAGTCCCGTTCCTATGGTGCTCAGTTATATTTCTCATTATTTGGGTTTTACAGCACTGTTCTTATGGTGAGCATCCTGCAAGTCATCTAGGAAGAACCTGCTCCAAAGACCATGAAATCTATCAAACTCAGTGCTGCTTTCTGCCCTAGAAGCTACATCAAACCATCGATTGATCTCCCCAGAAAGGCCAAGCTTTGCATTATAGAAAAAAATATGCAAGTATTGTGTTGCTCCTCAGCTCCGGGAAACATCCATAAGGACCCCAATTTGTTTCTTCCGTATCTCAAACTCTTTCAAGCTGCCTAAAAAATATCTGCCACAGTGGTTCTTCAGGCATGCTTTGTCTGCACTTCAGTTTTAGTGGAGTTATAAACCGGTATTTTCACGCTATTCCATGCAGCTTTCGATTTATGTTGACTCATCACAAACACACCTGCAACTATAATCAGTTCCTGGTGCCTCGATGATAACTTACTTTGCTTCATTCTCTGGAAGTCAGCGACTCTGTCCTTGGAAGGTTGTTTTATGAATTCTTTCTCCGCTTTCTGGTTATCCAGCACTTGGACAGGCATTATGTTATGAAGAGAGTTTGGTGGGATCTGCTTCATTGCAACATCTGCGTTTCCATCCTGGTTGTTGACATCTGCAGAAACAAGTAGCCAAGGAGTTGCATTTGGTGACTTTTGACAGACAGGCGGTCAGCAGCCTGGGTCCAGAACCCCAGGTCATCCTTCCAAAGGTTTTTTAGTGGGATTTTACTGGCTTTACGACAATCCCCTCTCCTCGTCTCACTTGTGGGGTGATTTCTCAACTAAAGGGACAAGAATCAAGGTAGCAAATGGAGGGAAAGGGATTCTGCCACTGTCTTACCAGGCTGCCCCTTTCTTTCTTGCACCTCTTTCCTTGAGAAAGATGGGAAAACGTTTTGGAGCATGCAAGAAATCAGCTTGTGTGTGTGTCAACTGTAAAACAAGATGCACGAAGCTGATTGGTCGGACTTTGTGCAGGGAGCTGGTTGAGCCTGGGACTTTTGGTTACTTTGGTTCAGGCTCGAGCTATGCAGGTGTTTGGAGAGAAGCAGAGTGAAACAGAGAGAGACAGAATTTGGTGTGTGCCCTTGCTTCATGGGCTGCTGAAGGAGTTTATCCACATGGACAAAGAAAGACCATTTAAAATTTCTCATAAAAGGACATTATGTGAGTTGATGCAACTGACCACAGTGTACATATGTTGTTCTGAACTACGAAGAGTAAACTACTTCATTGTTCATATTTTCTTTCTCTAGCAAGGCAGTGTATGGGCTGATCAGATGTGAACTACACATGGTTTATTTTTACATTATGCCACAGAAGGTCCAAAGGAAGTACCTGGCAGAAAGCCATCCTTGCCCCCCCCCCGCCCCCCGCCCCCAATCTCTTCGTGAACCTGGGAACACAAAACAGGAACTGGGAGGACCCTCCCATCTGGAGAGGGTGAAAGAGGATGCTTCTCAGATTCCCAACCATAACAGATTAAAGAGCTGATTGGCCAAAACTAACAAAATGAATTTCAACAAGGACAAAAGTAAGATACTACACTTGGGCAGGAAAAAAAATGAAATGCAAAGATACAGGATGGGTGAAGCTTGGTTCCACAAAAGAGTTACAAATGAAAAAGAGCTTGGAGTCTTTGTGGAGAACAAATTGAACATGAGCTAAGAGTGTGATGCAGCAGCTAAAAAGCCAATGAGATTTTGGGTTGCATCAGAAGGAGTGTAGTGTCTACACTGAGGGAAGTCATGGTGCCTCTCTCTTCTGCTTTGGTTAGACCTCTTTCCCTGGAATATTGTGTCCAATTCTGGGCAGCACAGTTTAAAACAGATATTGAAAAGCTGAAATGTGTCCAGAGGAAAAGGGTGGGTAAAATGATCAAAGGTTTGGAGACCATGAATCCCTCTGAGAAGCTGCTTAAAGAGCTGGGGATGTTTATCCTCAGAAAAGCAGATTGAGAGAACACACAATAGCTATGTATAAATATGTGAAAGGATGTGATCAGGAAAACGGAGCAGCCTCGTTTTCTGCTGCCCTCGAGACTAGGAGCAACGGCACGAAAGGAGATTCCACCTGAACATTAGGAAGAACTTCCTGACGGTAAGAGCTGTTCAGCACTGGAACTCTCTGCCTCAGTGGAAGCTCCTTCCTTGGAGACTTTTCAACAGCTCTGAATGTGCTTTTCCTGCATGGCAGGGGGTTGGATTAGATGACCCATGTGATCTCTTTCCAACTCCAGAATTCTATGATGCTTACTTCAAAAGGTCTTGAAGAGGGGGGCACCTTTGCCACACCCTTTTCAACTGAACTAATAATCGTCCTGTTTCCTGTTGTTGTTATTATTTGATACACAACAATATTAGTACACAGCAAACAAGATGACTATGCTGGGTGTTGTACTGGATCACACGCTGGACACTTCCAAGCGTCTAGGACTGTGTGATGTATCGGCAAATAATGCATGCAGATCCAAGTCGGGAGGCCTTTTGCAGCTGAGAGATGGTAATTTTGTCACTGTGAATTGTTTTTAAGTGCAGACCAAGGTCATTAGCCCCTGCACCCAGTGTGCCAATCACCACTAGGATCACCTTGACTGGCTTGTGCCAGAGTCTTTGCAACTCAATCTTTAAATCGTCGTATTGTGTCATTATTATCCTTATTGTGTTGGTTTATATCCCACTTTTTCTCTCCAAAAAGGAGACTTAAAGTGGCTTACATTAAAAGCATTTCAGTCTATTTTTAAAATATACAAATATTAAAATTTATTATTATTTCACATATTTGTATTCTGCCCTTCTCACCCTAAAAGGGGACTCAGGGCGGCCTTACAGCAGGCAGCAATTCATAAATATTATTAGTATTAAAAGAAATTCAGGTATAAACAACGCTGCTAGTTCAGAGCAGCCTCTCACCTTGAGCCAGGTTTGGGGCGTGAGGGTTTTCCGTAGGGAGCTCTCCTATGGGCTGATGTTGCAGCTTCTCAGAATCAACAAATGGCTTCTTCAGAACTACACGAAACAAATCCACGTTACAACCAATACTCATCATATCCTATTGAGCACTCAGGACTTGGAACTGGTTTGTTTGGAAATGATGCTGTGCTGGTGGGAAGCACTCTTCTACGTTTTTACACAAAATGAAAAGGCTTTCATGCTAGGACACAATTCAATAAGTCCTACTCCCACAAACGTCCACTGAACTCACCACTAGACCTCAAAAGGCTTTAACCACCACAGCACATGAAGGAATTTGATTGCTGTGAAGAGTTATACAATTCCACAACACTGTTATTTCTAGCTGTGGTAGCTAATTCAAGTCAGTGCATACTAAGAAGCCAAAAATAAATCCAGCAGTTCAGGTGTGGCATCCATCATTTCTATCAATCCTCTGCACCACTCCTTTTAAATGGATGTCATCTTAGGACAGGGCTTCTTACACTTTTTCAGCTTATGATTCCTTTTTTGCCCAAGAAATATTTATGTGACCCTGAGTATATAGGTATATCTCAAAGGTATACAAACCAAACTTCTTTGAATATTGGATGGTTAAATCTGTGGATACAAGGGACCAGTTCAGTTGTGCCACAGCTATAACAATTAGGGCACACTCGACTCCCAAGAACATTAAAACCAAACCCCTTAAGTAAAATACAGTGGATCTCAGTATCTGATAGGGTTTGGACCCACAGCGGATATTTATTTATTTACGACATTTTTATCCCGCCCTTCTCATTCCGAAGAGAACTCAAGGCGGCTTACATAATTGGCATTATTCCATGCCCAAACAACAACAATTAAAAGCAATTAAACAACAATTTAAAACAACATTAAGCAACATATGTAAACATGAGATGACTATTGTGCACAGATAATAAAATAATCATATTCATCAATCCAGGGTCAATTCCAATTGTATTGCACAGATAATTATGCTGGGCCAAATGCTTGCTCCCAAAACAAAGTTTTCACTTGTTTGCAAGATGTCTCTCCCCACCAGTCGCACATGCAATGATGGTGGGATTGAGAGCAGATCCTCCCCAGGAGATCTTAACCTACGTGGTTGTTCATAGGGAGAGATGCATTTAGACAGGTAAGTTGAGCTGGGGCTGTTCAGGGCTTTATAGGCCAAAGCCAGCACTTTGAATTGTGCTTGGTAGCAAATGGGCAGCCAGTGGAGCTGGCACAACAGGAGGGTTGTGTGCTCCCTATACGCTGCTCCCGTTAGCAATCTGGCTGCCGCACATTGGACTAGTTAAAGCTTCTGACCAGTCTTAAAGGACAACCCCAGGGATAGCAAAACCCATGGAGGCTCAAATCCTATGATATACACCGATGTCCCTTATATATAAGATTAGAGAGATATTGATACTGTCCTTGGCTCCCTCAGCTCCAGGAGAAACGACGACAATAATAAAACATATACTGTTGCTTACCAGTGAGTGTGTCTTCAGCTTTGGCAGGGTCATTCTCTTCTACTCCGGGCATCCCTGCATCATCTCCTAGTTTAATTTTCTCTGTTGAAAGAACAGGAGATTTCTCCTTCCTGCACTTTACATTCAGTTCGCAGTGATTTCAGATTTATTACAGGGACAGAAATAGCAGCGTTGGATCACATTTCTTTCACAGAAAACAAATCCCACTGCTTCAAGGTAATAATACCCAGTGAACAGAGGTGCCAGCAATGCCAGCACTCCCTACTTTGAAAGAGAATGGCTTTACTGGTATCTTAGCACAGCTGCAACCAGACTGACCTTTGCCATCTGAGATATTGTTGACCGAAGGCGCTTCGTTCTTAACGGCGTCCCTTTCGCCCGCTTCTTGAGTTGTCTTCAAAATGGTCAGGTTATTGCTCAGGCCCACCTCAACATCATTACTGGGCAAATTCCTGCGTAATGCCTATGGAAACGTTAACAGCTTTAGGAAAGAAAAGCTTCTCTACCTTTGTGCCAGACAGAAATCTCGTCACACTGAACTATCAAGGAAAATATTCTCATATCTTGCAGCCAACGTCATGATTAAAGGAGAAAGGCCATGACCCACATCCAAGGCAATTGAATACTGTATGCCTCTTTGACCCATTTCAAACTGGCTTCAAGAGCAGGATATGGAAATGAGACTGCCATGGCCGCCTTAGAGAAGCGTTTCTCAACCTTCCTAATGCCACGGCCCCTTTATACAGTTCCTCATGTTGTGGTGACCCCCAACCATAACATTATTTTCGTTGTTACTTCATAGCTGTAACGTTACAACTATTATGAATCATACTGTAAATATCTGATATGCAGGCTGTATTTTCATTCACTGGACCAAATTTAGCACAAATACCTGATACACCCACATTTGAATTTTGATTTTGTCATTTGCGAATTGTGGTTGCTGGGATTTATAGTTAACCTACAATCAAAGAACATTCTGAACTCTACCAGCGATGGAATTGAACCAAACTAGGCACACAGATCCCCCATACCTTGAAGGGACTTGCTGACGTGAGCCTCCCTCCAGCCTCACACACTCTCCCTTGCCCACACATGTGCACCACACTGCCATGCACCAAGCACGGCTGCTCTCCCCTCCCTGCTTGGAGTCTCAGAAACAAACCTCCCCTTGGCTGAGAGGCCAGCCAATAACAGCAGAGGAGGGCTTTTGGTGAGAGGAATCGCCATCTGTTTCCAAAAAGGAAGAGAAGAACAAGCTGAGAGATCTTTAGTCTTCTCTGCCAAAGGGGTTCCTAAGACCATCCGAAATATATGTATCTGATGGTCTTTGACGGTCCCCTCCCCGAGGTCCCGACCCCTAGGTTGAGAAATGCTGCCTTAGAGAATGATCTTAGTCTTAACTCTGACAAGGGGTGGGGGTCTTTGTTGGTGCTTCTAGACCTCTCTGTGGCTTTTGATATGATCTCCTTCTGAAATGCCTTAAAGGCGGTTTGGGAATTGGGGCACTATGTTGCAATTGTTCCAGTTTTATCTCTCAGACAGATTCCAGGTGATGGAGCTTAGGGGTAGCTGCTACTCAAAAAGGAGCTGGTATGTGGCATCCCACAAGTTGCTATTCTGTCTCTAATGCTTTTTAATATTTACATGAAACTGCTGGGAGAGATCATCCAGAGGCATGGGGCACAGTGTTATGAGGATGTTGGTGACACCCAAATATATTTCTCCATGACTCCTCAGAATGAATGCCTGGAGGAGGTCATGGGCTGGATGAAAAAACAAACAAATTGAAAATGAATCCAGACAAGTCAGAGGTGTTTGCCATCAAGGGGCCTAATCTGTGGGTGGGGGTGTGTTAGCTAGTTCTGGATGGGGTTACACTCCCCCTGAAAGACTATGTCCACAGCTTCGGACAAGAGCTCCTGGACCTGTCTCTACAAATGTCAGCCCAGGAGAGGCAATGGTCAGGAGTGCTTATCATCAGTTTCGGCTGATGCACCAGATGCACCTCTTCCTAGATTTGGAGGACCTAAAGATGGTCACCTCCAGGCTGGGTTTCTGCAAGGGCTTTTCACCTTTGTACCAAGTTCAGAAATTCCAGCTGGTTCAAAATATGGCACAGGAACATCTAGGATTGAGCATATCACCCCTATTCTAAAGTCACTCTACAGGCTGCCAATTTGTTTCTGGGCAAAGTACAATGTGTTGGTTTTAATCTTTAAGACCCTATATGATTTGGGTCCAGCTTCCCTACAGGATTGCCTTCTCCCCTACAATCCACCCTTTAAGACCAAGGTCCTCTGGGTTTTGCATTGTCTCCAACCAGCCCAAATCCAACTAGCAACCATCACCCAGATGACTTTTTATTGCCCCCCTCAAGATTGTACTGGAAGAGCTCCCACAGCTAAATGAGCTGTAAGAATTTAAAACCATTTGAAGACCTCTATCTCTTCCAGCAGGCCCACCCAGACACATTTTAAACACAAATCATTTGCATTTTGTGTTTAATCTTTGTTCTGTGTCTTTTAAGATATATGTTTTAATATGTGTATTTTATAGAATGTTTTAGATGATTATGTGTTTTAGCGATGCTGTCACCCATCTAATAAAATAATATTTTATTATTTATTATTTACTTCACTTGTATACCGCTTTTCTCACCCCAAGGAGGACTCAAAACAGTTTCCAATATATTTGTGGCAAAATTTAAAGCCTTACACACATATGAAATCTAACACAAAACAACAATAATATAGAACTATAAATCATAAAAATGTAACAACATTTAGTCATTAAGACATGGAGTTAAAAACATATTAATATAATTGTTAAACTCACATAATCCAAAAACCGTAGTCCAAGGCATTCCAAATATCAAATGTCAATTGCACATAATCCCTGGTCATTCCTTGTATTGCTTACTGCCCAAAGACTTGATCCCATAGCCAAGTTTTTACTTTTTTCTGAAGGCCAAGAGGGAGGTGGATCTAATTTCATGGGGGGGGATTCCATAGCTCTGGGGCCACCACTGAGAAGGCCCTGTCTTTCATCCCCACCAGTCATGTTTGCAAGGGAGGTGGGACCGAGAGCAGGGCCTCCCCGGATGATCTTAACCTACGAGAAGGTTCATAGAGGGAGATACGTTCAGATAGGTAAGCTGGGCTGGAACTGTTTAGGGCTTTATAAGCTAAAGCCAGCACTTTGAATTGTGCTCAATAGCAGAATATAAGCAGAATATACCTTTTGATCTTGTGTAACTTGCTCCTCTAGTTTTTTCATATCCTCTTCATGTTGTATTCGCAATTCCTTGATTTGTTGCCCACACTGGAAACTGGTAAAAGACAGCCAAGTCAGAGTATTTCAAACTTGCCTAGTAATGATAAAACACACTGCTTCATAGGGACTCCCTTTCTGTGGCATTTAGTAAGGGAAAAGGTATACTCTGGCCCACTGGCCAGGTTTAGTTGCCCTACAACACACTGTTTCTTCTTACTCCTTTGACAGAGGGACAGAGGCAAAAGAACGTTAAAGATACAATCTGTTCACAGATACAGATGATAACGTTTGTGAGACTAGCAAACACCCAAAGGCCACAGGATTCTAAAAATATTATATTATTGTCCCACTCACCTTTCATACTCTAACCGTTTAAGAAGCTGTGTGTTGTTCTTCTTATATTCATGAAGCTGATCCTCCTGACGGATGAATTCTTGTCGCAACTCAGCAAGTTGTTCTAAGCCAAAGCATAACAGTCAGTGGGATTAAAGAAAAGACCTCTTTCAAAGTGAACGCCAAAGTCAGGGAAGGAGAGGTAGGCAGATTCACCTTGTCCTTTGACAGAACTTCTTACCTTTTAAGCGATGGATGTCTGCCATTTGGTATGATACGTTGTTCTGAAGCTTGACCTGGAAAGGAGATACAAAATAAATAAGGACTCAGATTACAAGATATAAGTCTCTTGAATGACCACTTCATCACATTAGAGAGAAAAATCCACTTAAAATCCAGTTTCTGCCTCCTGCAGAATTCTGTGATTTGTAGTTTAGCTGTTAAAGGCTCCTCCCTAAACTACAAACCGCAGAATTCTGCAGGAGCCAGAAACCAGATTTTAAGTGGATTTTTTTTCTAGTGTGATGAAGTGGTAGCCACATCATCACACTGGAGAAAAAAAACAACTTAAATCCACTAGTAGGACTTAAAAGATAAATATTGACATTCTTCTACATTAATTTCTTATTAGGTAGCCAGGAACACCAATCTAATGAATCTGTGTAACACAATAGTAGTGCCCCAAGGGTTATTTATACCCATGGTTTCTATACACAGCTTACAAGATAAAACTAAAATCTTCAACACTTTGTTTAACCAGATTACAGGTATATTGCAGTTAGCAAAGTAAATGTGTTCTGGAGCATTAAATCTTCGACAGAATTTGAAAATGGGAGTACATGTGTCTTTCACTATGCTCTCAATAACACTAATGAGCTAGACAATTGACTTAGGGCTCTTCCACACAGCCCTATCCCAGAATTATCAAGGCAGAAAATCCCACATTATCTGCCTTGAACTGGGTTATCTGAGTCCACACTCAGATAATGTGGGATTTTCTGCCTTGATATTCTGGGATATAGGGCTGTGTGGAAGGGCCCTTGATTAATGTCTGTACTTGATGGTCAACCCAGGAGGAGCAGCATCCACAATAAAGCCAAGGCAAACCAACCAGGATCTTTCAACCAAAGCTACAACCATCTGGGAACGAGGCTGGCCAAAATCACACACCACAGACTGAATGTGCTCTCAGCCCAAAGGAAGAGAACCCCTTAGAATCATTAGTTGGAAGAGACCGCATAGGCCATCTAGTAAAAAAAAACACCCTTCTGTCAGGCAGGGAAAGAACAATCAAAGCACCCCAGATGGCTATCCATCCTCTGATGAAAAGCCTCCAAAAAGGAGCCTCAACTGGAGTCCAAGGCAGAGAGTTCCACTGTTGAACAGCTCTTACATGGCTCTCATGTCTCCTCTCAACTTCTTCTGAGGCTAAACAGACCCACACACTCCACAGAGGGATTATTCATGGTTCCCAGACCTTTGATCATTTTAGTCACCCTCTTCTGGACCCCTTCCAACTTAGAGTCAATTTCCCCCTTGAACTGTTTTGCCCAGAATTGGACACAGTATTCCAGGTGAGGTCTGATCAAAGCAGAATAGAGGGGCACCATGGCTTCCCTTGATCTGGACACTAAACTCCTTCCGATGCAGCCCAAAATCCTGTTGGCTTTTTTAGCCGCAGCATCACATTGTGGGCTCATCCTCAACTTGTTGTCCACAAAGATTCCAAAGTTTCTTCTGAGGCTAAACAGAGCCAGCCACTCCTCAGAGGGATGTGACTCTGTTGTGGAGCCAGGTGTCACCCATCCTGTATATGCAATTCATTTTGATTGCCTAAATATAGTATCTTACACTTCTTATTGAATTTTATTTTGTTAGTTTTGGCCAATCAGCTCTCTAATCTGTTGAGGTCATTCTGAATTCTGATCCTGTCCTCTGGAGTATTAACTATCCCTCCTAATTTGGTGTCATCTGCAAACTTGATCGACCTGCCCTCTAAACCTTCTCCTAAACCTTTACCTTGCTCTCTTCGCACTTGCGGATCTGTCCATCCTTGGCCTGCAGCTGGCTGCTGAGGTGGCTCCGGTCAGCCTCTTTCTGCTCCAGGAACTTCTTATGGGACTCCACTTGCAACAGGAGCTCAGAGTTGCGCTTTTCCAGCCGCCCACGAGCCACATCGCTGCGCTTGGCCTGCCCCTGCAGCTCGGCCACCTCCTCCTGTAGCACTGTCTGCCGGGTGGTGCTGCTCCAGTAGTTGAAGGCCAGAATGGCCACCACTAGCAGAAGGGCCACAAAGAGGAAGGAGGGCAGGCGCCCGCCCCGCCGGTTTGCCCCAAAGCCCACCATCAGGCAGGCCGGGGAGGAGGGGGAAGGCCCTCCACCCTGGAATAACACTCCCCCTGCAAGGGGGGAAAAGAGAGCACAGTGCAAAGTCAGCACTCACATTCACAGGAGCTGCGGGCATAGGACCCCAAAGAATGGGAACTATTACTTTATGTAGCACAATTTTTATTCCTGGGTTATAAATGCCATTTTCTAATTGGTTCTATCACAAAAACATGGGAGAAGTTTATTAAACTGCAAAAACTTTGTTTTTGTGGAAGAGACATCCTGCCATAGCACATTTTGCTCTAGTTTTTAAATGAATTAACTTTTTGGAGTAAAGCTACTGTTTTCAAAGTAAGGAGAGCACAATTAAACAGGAAATCGTACTTTCAAACCAGAAACAGAAAATGTTTTCGAATTTTGTTACATAGTGTTACTAGCACATATACTCAGCATTTGCCAGGTGTCATTGGGACCGCTGTCCACTTGTTTTCTTTCTCCTCCCTTACTTTTTCTCTTCCCTGTTTCTTTCTTCAGTTCCCTCTCTTCCTTTCTTTCTTTCCCTTTCCATCTTCTTCTTTCTACTTCTTTCATCTCTTATTTCTTCTTTCCTTTCTGTACCTTTTTCCTTTCCTTTCTCTTTGTTACTTCCTTCCTTCCCTCCTTTTTCTTCCTTCTCCTGTCTTCCTTCCTTTCCATTCCCTCATTTTTCCATTATTTCTCCCATCCCTTCTTTCTCCTTTACTTTCTGTCCCTTTTTCCTCTTTTCTTTCCTTTCTCTTCCTTTCTCCTTTTTCATCCTCCTTCTCTCTCCCATTCTTTCCCTTATTTTCTCTTTATTTTTTCTTTCTCTTCTTTGAAGACCTTTCTCCTTCAAAAAAACCCCATTAAAACCCTACTTGTGCTCTTTAAAATACAGAGAGAAGGAGGGCCAAGGAATGATACAATACAACTGTTTTGGTGCGCTTCTGACATGATAAATAAATAAATAAATTATATATTACATATAATATTACATATAATAATATTATAGTACAGTGGTATGGTACAATATAGTAATTTATAATGCTAATATTGTACTATGCTGAGAATATAATATATTGTATATACATATAACTCATAAGCCGCTCTTGAGTCCCCTTCGAGAAAGGGTGGGGTATAAATGTAGTAAATAAATAGTAAATAAATAAATGTCCCTTGTTTGGGTATCAGCCAGCACATCAACGACTTAAATCAAGAAATAGTTTTCTAAGATCTAAAGAGACACTTGCTGGAACACCCCAGCAAGCGAGAGTCCAAAAGTGGCAGGCTCAAACCCAGAACCTCAATTAATGGCTGATACCAAATGAGAGACTCCCCCCTGGGCACACAGAAGACTGGGAGACTTGGATAACGCTGAACAGACTGCGCTCTGGCACGAGATGCAGAGCCAACCTGTCATGCCCAGCACTTTTAATTTTAGTCATTACATTTGGCCCGGTCCTAGATTTAAATGTGTCATGATGTATTGTTTTTAATGTTTTACTGTTACTGCTTTCATGTTTATTGGTTTGCTATATTAATTTTATTGTGTATTTGTTATACTGTTGTTTTATTGAGGGCCTTGGCCTTTGTAAGCCGCACCGAGTCCTTCGGGAGATGTTAGCGGGGTACAAATAAAGTTAATAATAATAATAATAATAACCTCAAGAAATGGGGCTACGAAGTGGAATCCACAACATGCGAGTGTGGAGAAGAACAAACCACAGACCACCTGCTGCAATGCAACCTGAGCCCTGCTATATGCACAATGGAGGACCTCCTTGTGGCAACACCAGAGGCACTCCAAGTGGCCAGATACTGATCAAAAGGACATTTAATCATCCTTTTTTCCCTTCTTGAAGATTGGGAGCACATTGGCCCTCCTCCAGTCTGCTGGAACTTCCCCCGTTCTCAAGAACTCTCAAAGATGGTTGCCAATGGTTCCGAAATGACTTCCGCTAGTTCCTTCATTACTCTTGGGTATAGTTGATCTGGCCCTGGGGACTTGAACTCATTTAGAGCAACTCATTTAGGTAATCGCGGACGACTTGTTTCCCAATTTGGGGTTGGATGTCCTCTAATCCCTTATCCACTCCATGACTTTCTTTTTGTGAGAAGACTGAGGCAAAGAAGGCATTAAGTAGTTCTGCCTTTTCCCTATCCCCTGTCAGCATTGCCCCATCTTCTCCTCGAAGAGGCCCTATCGCCTCCTTGTTTTTCCTTTTTCTACTGACATAAGAAAATAAATTGTTTTTAATCAGGGTGGAAAGAAGTAGTTTGTCATGGGGGAGAGGGCAAAGTCAAAGGCTGGGGAGGCAGATGGATTTGGTTGTTGTTCACTGTAAAAATGAGATACTGTTGTGATAGAGCGAGAGTTCAAAAGTGGCAGGCTCAAACCCAGAACCTCAATCCGTGGGTGATACCAGATGAGAGACTCCCCCCTGGGCACACAGAAGACTGGGCGACTTGGAAGGCGCTGAACAGACTGCGCTCTGGCACCACGAGATGCAGAGCCAACCTCAAGAAATGGGGCCACAAAGTGGAATCCACGACATGCGAGTGTGGAGAAGAGCAAACCACAGACCACTTACTGCAATGCAGTCTGAGCCCTGCCACATGCACAATGGAGGACCTTCTCACAGGGACACCAGAGACACTCCAAGTGGCCAGATACTGGTCAAAGGACATTTAAATTGTTTTTTTTGTTTTTTTTATCTGTTTGTTTATTTTGTTCTGTTAGAAATATAATACAATGTTCTGGTTGCGGATGACACAATAGATAGATAGAGCAATAGTTCCCAACCTCAATACCAAGTCCCAGAACCACTTTAGTAGAACCACGATCACTGTACACCGCACACTGCACTTATTTTATAATCCTATATTCCTCCCGCAATATCAGCACTTTTAATCCTGTACCCACTACTCTGGCCGGCCCAGTTTTAATAATTGTTTCGATGTATTGTTATTGTTACTGTTTACTCTGCTTAACTGTTTTAATTTGCTTTATGTATTGTATTGTTGTATTGTGTTCTGAGGCCTCGGCCTATGTAAGCCGCATCGAGTCCCTCGGGAGATGCTAGCGGGATACAAATAAAGTTATAATAATAATAATAATAATAAAAACAATTTAATTAAAATAGCACTAACTCTCTGGCTGTTTTGTCTGTTTGTTTTGTTAAAAATGTAATACAAATGTCTGGTTGCTCCTGACACGATAAATAAACAAAATAACCTAGCAACATCCTTTGCGATACAGGCAGACGACGATACAGGCCTTTTCAATATAGCGAAGATTGTTATATTGAAGGGGTAAATAGAGCTTATTAGGAAATTATTAGTGCCTATTGGGAAAATGCTAAAAACTGTAAAAGCCTAAGGAAGAGTCTTGTCCTTTGCCATAGAAAAGGTGCAAGGACAAGAGGAGAGACAGTTTTGGAAGAGAACAGGAAAGAACAGGATGCAGGGCTGAAGGACGTAGGACAAGATGACATCCAAGGATCTGCAGTCATAACATGAGTGCGGGAGACTCTTAAGTGGGTGAAAGGGGCTCTGTCCTTGTAGAGTTGAGAGGAAGGAGGTGAAAGAACGTGTTTTGAAAGGAAGTTTGGAAGAGGGGTGGATCTGTTCATGACACAGCAGAAAAAGGGTATAAGGATGAAATTGAAAAGATCAGATGGACAAGCAGCCTTTTTGATAGACATCTGATTGTCTTGCTGTTTCTGTCTCATCGCGGCCGCACTTGAAATAAAGAGATTTTTTTGCTTCAAACCTCATGGAGACTGGCTGACTTTTTTTGTTTTGTTTTTAATTTTATTTAAGTAAACATACATTTGCAAGTGTTTGTTGCATACAGTGCAATACTCTCGATCTATTAATATTCTATAATCCTTTATCTCATAATATATTTCTATTAAGGGGTCACAGTCTACTATCTAAGTATTACATACAAAGATATCATAGATTCTTACTTTAAATCCATTTCTTCCTTGTCTACAGTCTTATAGGATCCTCTATATACATTTTTAATTTACATTAAGGTGTTGAATCATTGGTTGCCACTTAAGAATTTCTCCTTCGTATTGTCGAAGGCTCTCATGGCCGGAATCACTCAGTTCTTGTGGGTTTTTTCGGGCTATATGGCCATGTTCTAGAGGCATTTCTCCTGACGTTTTGATCCAACAGACCTCACAACCTCTGAGGATGCCTGCCACAGATGCAGGCGAAACATCAGGAGATAATGCTTCTAGAAGAGGGGTCCTCAAACTTTTTAAACAGAGGTCACAGTCCCTCAAACTGTTGGAGGGCCGGATTATAATTTGAAAAAAAACATGAATGAATTCCTATGCACACTGCACATATCTTATTCGTAGTGCAAAAACACTTTAAAACAATACAATAATTAAAATGAAGAATAATTTTAACAAATATAAGCTTATTAGTATTTCAGTGGGAAGTGTGGGCCTGCTTTTGGCTGATGAGATAGGGTTGTTGTTGTTGTGTGCTTTCAAGTCGTTTCAGACTTAGGTTGACTCCCTGAGCGAGGGCCGGGTAAATGACTTGGAGGGCCGCATCCGGCCCCCGGGCCTTAGTTTGAGGACCCCTGGGGCATTTCTCCTGACGTTTCTCCTGACCTCACCTCTGAGGATGCTTGCCATAGATGCAGGCGAAACGTCAGGAGAAATGCCTCTAGAACATGGCCATATAGCCCGAAAAAACCCACAAGAACTGACTTGTCTAGTATTTCTCCTCTTAATAATACTGTTATTATTAAGAGGAGAAATACTATTAAGAGGAGAAATATTATTAAGAGGAGACTGGCTGACTTTTTAAGATTCACCTGTAAGCTAATAAAAGAGTTCCCTTCAATATCAGTATTTTGATTGATATCCTTACTTATCTTTTAGAGGGAGAGGCAAAGCGACCCACAACATCAAAACACAATGCGATTTAGAATCTAAAACACATAAATATTTGAATAGAGTGAAACATGTGAATCAGTTTAAATAGGCATGGGCCAAGTTGGGCCTTTCCTGCAGGGGTTTTGGACTTCAATTCCCACCATTCCTAACAGCTTCAGGCCCTTTCCTTTTCCCTCTCAGCCGCTTAAGCCTGAAGCTGTTAGGAATGGTGGGAATTGAAGTCCAAAACCCCTGCAGGAAAGGCCCAACTTGGCCCATGCCTGAGTAAAAATCAAAACAGTTATAACACAGTCCTTCAGCATGGAGCTGAGGGAATTGGCCTTTGGAGGAGCCAGAGAGGCCTACAGAAGCATCTCTAGGCCTCAAAAGGACCCTCTTTGGGCTTTATTTTCAGTTAGAATGTCTGTGGATAATGAAAGGCGAAGGCCCACCTGCCTCAACGCTCCAACCGCCTTCCTCCGACGCTCCTGCAGCGACTACTTCCGCGTTCGCGTTGCCTTACTCCGCCTTGCCAACTCTCGCGAGAGCCGCCTCGCCGCGAAGCCCCGCCTCCGCTGGGGTACTTCCGCTTCTTCTCACTCTCGCGCGGGAAGTCTCGCGAGATTCCGGCGCTCCGGCTTATTTGACAGGAGCTGAGCTAATAATAGAAGGTGACGGATTAAAGCCGCCTTTTCTCCCCTTTTAGAAGTATCTCGAGGAGGTCTGTAACGGTTTAAAAGGTTCTGGGATTGTTTCGAAAGAATAATAAGAGGCCGGACGTATGACGGGGTTTGAAAGGAGCCGTGAGGGATAGAGGTCTGCTGCGCATGCGCGTCACATTGCCTCCTCGCCCAGTGCGCATGCGCAACACGAGAGGCGCAAATTGGTCGGGGAAAGGCACAAAGGCATACTACGCATGCGTACTAAGCCAAGTCCGGAATTTGGCGGGAAATACAGCCTCCGTTTAATAGCCGCATGTTATGGAAATGTCAAAGGGTTAAGAACGATTGGATTGGAAGAAAAAAATACACAGAATCTTACAAGTCTCAACCAGCCCCTACTTAATAATAATAATAATAATAATAATAATAGACTACTCAATTTGGAAGGGAATCCAAGGACCATCCTCTTTCTACCATTCTGGAAAGGCACCATCAAAACCTTCCCAACAGATAGTAATCCAGCCCCTGCATAATAATAATAATAGAAGATTCCTAAAGTCGGAAGGGAATCCAAAGGTCGTCCAGTCCATCCCCTTTCTACCATTCTGGAAAGGCACCATCAAAACCTTCCCAGCAGATAGTCATTCAGCCCCTGCATAATAATAATAATAATAATATTACTACTAAATTTGGAAGGGAATCCAAGGACCATCCAGTCCATCCCCTTTCTACCATTCTGGAAAGGCACCATCAAAGCCTTCCCAACAGATAGCCATCCAGCCCCTGCATAATAATAATAATAATAATAATAATAGACAATTCCTAGAGTCGGAAGGGAATCCAAGGGCCATCCAGTCCAAACCCCTCCTGCCATTTTGGAAAGGCACCATCAAAGCTTTCCCAACATATAGCCATCCAGCCCCTGCTTAATAATAATAATAATAGACTATTAAAGTCGGAAGGGAATCCAAGGGCCACTCAGTCAAACCCTCTTCTGCCATTTCTGGAAAGGCACCATCAAAGCCTTCCCAACAGATGGTCATCCAGTCCCTGCATAATAATAAAAATAATAATAATAGACTATTCCTAAAGTTGGAAGGGAATCCAAGGGCCGTCCAGTCCAACCCCCTTCTGCCATTCTGGAAAGGCACCATCAAAGCCTTCCCAATAGATAGCCATCCAGCCCCTGCTTAATAATAATAATAATAGACTACTAAAGTCCGAAGGGAATCCAAGGGCCGTCCAGTCCATCCCTTTTCTACCATTCTGGAAAGGCACCATCAAAGCCTTCCCAATAGATAGCCATCCAGCCCCTGCATAATAATAATAATAGAAGATTCCTAAAGTCGGAAGGGAATCCAAGGGCCATCCAGTCCAAGCCCCTTCTGCCATTTTGGAAAGGCACCATCAAAGCCTTCCCAATAGATAGCCATCCAGCCACTGCTTAATAATAATAATAATAATAATAGAAAACTCCTAAAGTTGGAAGGGAATCCAAGGGCCACCCAGTCCAACCCTCTTCTGCCATTTCTGGAAAGGCACCATTAAAGCCCTCCCAACAGATGGCCATCCAGTCCCTGATTAATAATAATAATAATAGAAAACTCCTAAAGTTTGAAGGGAATCCAAGGGCCACCCAGTCCAACCCTCTTCTGCCATTCTGGAAAGGCACCATTAAAGCCCTCCCAACAGATGGCCATCCAGTCCCTGCTTAATAATAATAATAGTAATAATAATAATAATAATAGAAGATGAACTGAACCACCTCAACTGGGCTCTAGGCCAATGGATACTCCACCTCAGACATCAGAAGAGCTGCAAGACCAAGAACGAGCCACGAGAGTAAAGATGAAGATCCACCCAGAGGAAAAGTGTTCCTGCCATACATCAAGGGAACCACTGACCGCATAGGGAAGCTGATGAGGAAACACAACATACAAACAATCTACAAACCCACTAAGAAAATCCAGCAAATGCTACATTCCGCAAAGGACAAAGGGATCCTCTCACCTCTGCAGGAGTCAACCATATACCATGCAGCTGTGGACAGCTCTACATAGGGACCACCAAACGCAACAGCATTGCCAAGATACAAACCAGGGAACATGAAAGGCACTTCAAACTGATTCCACCAGAGAAGTCAGCCATAGCAGAGCACCTCATGAACCAACCTGGACACAGCATATTATTTGAGAACACAGAAATGCTGGACCACTCTCACAACCACCATGTCAGACTACACAGAGAAGCCATTGAAATCCACAAGTATGTGGACAATTTCAACAGAAAGAAAGAAACCATGAAAATGAACAAAATCTGGCTACCAGTATTAAAAAATTCTAAAATTGCAACAGCAAAAACAGCAGAGAGGAAAACAGGCAGGGACATCTAATTACCTTTCAAGAAGAGTTTGCTCCAGGCACAGTCAGCCCATTGTATGCTAATCAAGGTGGTCAGTTGAAAGATTCACACCTAGCCCAACTGACAAAAGTCCTTTGTATCACCCTGGTCATTCCACAGATATATAAACCCTTTCCCCAGTTACCAAACAGACCTCACCTCTGGGAATGCTTGCCATAGATGCAGGCGAAACGTCAGGAGAAATGCCTATAGAACATGGCCATATAGCCCGAAAAAAACCCACAAGAACTTAATAATAGAAGACTCCTAAAGTCGGAAGGGAATCCAAGGGCCACCCAGTCCAACCCCCTTCTGCCATTCTGGAAAGGCACCATCAAAGCCTTCCCAATAGATAGCCATCCAGCCCCTGCTTAATAATAACAATCATAATAGACTCCTGGAATCGGAAGGGAATCCAAGGGCCATCCAGTCCAACCCTGTCATTTCTGGAAAGGCACAATTAAAGCCCTCCCAACAGATGGCCATCCAGTCCCTGCTTAATAATAATAATAATAGTGTCCTGGAGTCAGAAAGGAACCCAAGGGCCATCCAGTCCAACCCCCTACTGACATTCTGGAAAGGCACCATCAAAGACTTCCCAACAGATAACCATCCAGCCCCTGCTTAATAATAATAATAATAATAATAGAAGACTCCTAGAGTTGAAAGGGAATCCAAGAGCCATCCAGTCCAACCCTCTTCTGCCATTCTGGAAAGGCACCATTAAAGTCTTCCCAACAGATGGTCATCTAGTCCCTGCTTAATAATAATAATAATAATAATAATAATAATAATAGACCCCTAGAGTCGGAAGGGAATCCAAGGGTCATCAAGTCCAACCCTCTTCTGCCTTTTCTGGAAAAGCACCATCAAAGCCTTCCCAAAAGATGGCCATACAGCCCCTGCTTAATAATAATAATAATAATAATAATAATAATAATAATAGACTACTAAAGTCGGAAGGGAACCCAAGGGCCATCCAGTCCAACCCCCTTCTGTCATTCTGGATAGGAACCATCAAAACCTTCCCAACAGATGGCCATCCAGCCCCTGATTAATAATAGTATTAACAACAACAACAACAACAGAAGACTCCTAGAATCAGAAGGGAATCCAAGGGCCATCCAGTCCTACGCTCTTATGCCATTTCTGGAAAAGTACCATTAAAGCCCACGCAACAGATGGCCATCCAGCCCCTTCTTAATAATAACAATCATAATAGACTCCTGGAGTCGGAAGGAATCCAAGGGCCATCCAGTCCAATCCTGTCATTTCTGGCACCATCAAAGCTCTCCAAACAGATGGACATCCAGCCCCTGCTTAATAATAATAATAGACTCCTAGAGTCGGACGGGAACTCCCTCTTCCTTAGGACAGCCTTTCAAATGTTTCAACATGACTCTCGTGTCTCCTCTGAGGCCCCTTGAAGCATCCTACATGAATGAAGTAATAGTAATAATATTAATACTTTATTTGAATCCTGCCCCATCTCCCTGAGAGGACTTGGAGCGACTTACAGCACAATAACAGTGCAAACCATAAACAATAATTCATTAAGATCAAGAACAGAAGTAACTTAAATCAACACAAAACCTCATATTAAATTGACACAACAACATAATTCATAAATGAAAATAAACAGTGGCGATGTTGTATAAACCAATTAAAACATCCCAACCATTGATCTGGTTAAAAGTGAAAAATCAGTTAAAACTTAGTCCCATTTAAGTTCTCTGCCCATTAGAGAACTTAACATTAACCATTGTCAAAGGCTTGTTTAAACCTTCATCTAAGTCATTCATAAATCTTCATCTAAGTGATGAAGGGCCACATTATGATCCAAGGGTCATTGAATCTGTGGATAGGGAAACGGTGGAAACAGAGGGCCAACTGTGTTTTTCCCTCATAGTGGTTTCTTTTTTACTCAATGTTAAAACAATGTTCAGTGTTATTGAATAACAATCCCCATCACTTTTGATGATCTGCTCTGCAGACTGGATATTATTATTATTCTTATTACTCACCTCTCTTGACAGCTCGAGGTGGGGCAGAACAAGCACATATGAACATAAAATATATACAATAAATTAAATATAGATAGAAACACAATTTTTTTTTTAAAAAAAGCTTGCAACAAACAGATACAAAATCAACATCTTGTACTTGGCCCAGAAACTCATTGGGAGCCAGTGGATTGAATTTAATATGCATGTAATCGGCTTCCTTCTGGATATTCTTGTAACCAATCTGGCTGCCATGTTTTAAACCTATTGGAGTTTCAGAACTTAAGTTTTTGTGTGGACATGTTTCCACTGGCATTATTTGTCAGCTATTTCTCCCATTATTGCTGCTATATTATGCTCTACATGGGATCTAGGACAGTGGTTCCCAATCTTTAGTCCTCCAGTTCTTTTGGACTTCAACTCCCAGTAATCCCAGCCAATTTAAGAGCTGTTAGGGATTGTGGTAGCTGAAGTCCCAAACACCT